GTGTTTATGTGTGTGCTTCTCTTTTGTCTCTCCAATGAGGTGTCATATATAATAAAAATATATAGGGGTAATGATGAGGTTGTTGGGTGCAAAATAACCCTTATACCCTTAGAATCACACCATATGTGTGAACCTTATCCTCCAGGTGGCAGTGGTCCTCTAGCAGGCAATTACAGCAATCATTTCATGTGCAGAGCCAGCTGTCCTCATACAACTGTATCTTTTTTTCGTTTTCTGCGCCAGAAATGCCAAGGCATTTCAATATGCTTCAGCAGCGTGTGATGCCGCGACATTACTTCCCGAAGAATCATTTTGTCTACTATTCCTTGCACACCACAAACAACTGCACATTTCTCTCATACAACACCATTAAGAAATAATACAACAATACCACCACACATGCAACTATATGCAACTACATGATCCTAAAATGACTAAAATGGGCTTTTAAACAAACAACAACTTAAGTGAAAAAGACCTTAAAAGTAGCCTTTTTAGGAAGTTTACACCTGGCTTCCTTGGCTGCAAAAAACCTCTCCAAATCAACTACGGGTCACCTTTTCTTTCCCCCTTGCTCTAGACCTTTCTCTTACTTCCTTAGCTAAACAAAGGTAAGAAAAGGATTACCAACTTATGCTTGAAACTAAGTTTAAAACACTCTATACAACTTAATAATACTCAAAACAGGCTTAAATCTTTTGATTCTCCTAAACCTCTCAAAAACCCATTTTTGATAACTTAACCAAAACTTGAGATTTAAGGCTTGAATTGAAGCTTGAAGGATGATGATTAAAGCTCCTACCTTGGATGACTCTAACTAGGCTTAGGACTCCAAAATCTTCCACCTTTTGTTGACTCTTGGAGAGAAAAAGAAGAGAGAAGAAAAGAGAAAATGGGAAAGGAAATTTGGTAAGCTAATGGGGGTGATATTTCACGTGAAATATATTTAAAATAAGGGGGTTTCTATCCTTTAACCAAGCCATGGTCAAATTGCTATTTTGGTCCCTCTCCTTTAATCCTAAATTAAATTCATCACTTCTCCTTACTTTTGGGCCAAACTTAATCCCAATACCCTTTTGAACTGGTCTAAACCGATCTAAGAGATCTAATGGGCTCGATTTATGGGTCTCGGGTTGACCCGAACTACTAACCCAAGATTCGGAGTATTACAAAGATAGAGTGAGCCACCTTTGATTGAGTACTTTTGTAAACCATCCTTATTGGGTGAGACATTTTGTATCACTACTCATATAATAGTGGAAGGCAAGTTTGCACTGGACTAGCGTCTCATGATTTTTCCTGATTTGTTTTTTACGTATCACCAAAATACTATATGTTTTTGTTGTTTTTATATTTGTGCCCATCTCAATCTCACAAAGGAAAAGAGTTATTCTCATATACAACCGTCTTTTCCCAACAATTTCCAATCGCACTCATATTGTGATAATCCATAATAAATGTGTTGGATTAACGTATCTCTATCTAATAAATATAGGTGAATCAAACTGATTTTTGATTATACATATGATATTATTTAGTAGTAAAACTTATTCAAAGATAAACTACTATACTGATTAATGTTAAAAATAATTATTCTTATTCAAAAGATAGAATATAATAAGATTTTATTAATGGTAGAAATTTTACTCCAATTAAACTTTAAACATTTTTTATAGTAAGCTCACAGGCCATGCACTACATAAAAATGAAAAACAAAAGAAGAAAAGATTGAAACAATGTTTTAGTAACAGTTTCCAGTATCTTTAGCGTATGAAAAACTCTGCTGCTTTACCGAATGACAGTGAAGAAATCGATGAACCTTTTTTCATAGTTATTGACATGATTATTCCCCCATGGAAGTAGTACCCGCAAACACGGGCCGTGAATGAAGGAGATGGCCGGCAGCGTTGATTCCATTGATGCAATGGCCCGATCGACCGGGGATGTTGGTACAAGAAGAAGGGCCGGAAGGTGGCACCGGTCCCTTCTGAAGCGACTCGAAATTGGGCAGGACTTGCCTGACTAGTTGCTCCCCTTGCCAGTGCCAAGGCCTTATGGCAGCTCCGAGTTGTGCAGTAAATGAAATGAACAAAAGGGTGAACAAAATTGAAATCTTGAAAACACTTGTTTGTTTGAGGACTCCCATTTGTAATTAGGTTAAGAGTAATTGGCTTGGATTTGAAGGTCTGGTTTGCTCAAATATATATATCGTTGCAGGAACATGGGCTTTGACCTGGCCAATACGGCATGAATTTTCAAAGTCTGATTCTATTGTGAATTTTCAAGCAATACAGGGAAACTTGTGTCCCAAAGACGGTGCTTAAATAATATAAGTATGATGGGAAACCAATGTTATATTTACAAGTATTCAAAGTTGAATATTATGAGCAGGAATCGAATGAACTCAGTAGTAAAAAAATTATTGTTATTCTTTGAGATCCTTGGTTTGAGCACCAGAAATGTTAGGGGTGTAAATGTTCAATATCAAATGGTTGAGATACCTTTAAACATATGTCTTACCTTCTATTTACCTCATATTTATAAAAAAAAAATTGAATATTATGAATTTAGTATTCTGTCAACCGTTGACATATTGTCATTAGTAATACTAGGGTTATTGATGTTAAAGGTTTGAATTCAATGACAAGGAAAATACCTGTAATATAGTAAGTTCAAACCAACTGCTCAAACTGGTCAAACACGTTTTAAGTCTTACGGACATCTTTGATTTTTACACGGCCGAAACTGAAATACGTATTTTCATGGGTATTCACTGGTCCATTGTTAATTAATTAGTCATGGTCTATGTTTTTATGTTCCTTTACGTAAAATAAACTTTCATTCATTCAATAGCAAGGAATATGAAGATGTGGGTTAGAATTTTATTTTTGTTTCTAATTTTTCAAAGTCTCAAGCCCGAGGAATATATTTAATACTTGATATTTTTGTTTTCAATGTATGCGATTGAATCTGGACCATCTTTTTCAGTCGTGAAAAATAGACAAAAAAGACTTTGTAAATGTTCGAGGTGCTAGGTTAGAGATTGACGATTATGGAGCTGCTTACTTGAAAACGTTTCTTAGGTTTATAGGTTAAACTGATGCTATAAGGGTTTATCAGTTTTACATAAACAAAATACAATTGAAATAAAATAAAGGTCGATATTAAATCGAATTTATCCCAAAATAATGAATTTAATTTTACTTTTACCTGGACAGACACGCTTTTAAGATGTTGGGCTTAAACATAAAATGGAAGTGGACTCATTCACCATGGGTAGGGAGTGGGCATGGGTAGGGTTGGGTCGGATTTTTGGCCCACCCGACCCGACCCGAGAACAACTACTCTCCCACCCGAAATCCGACCCGACCAGCATAATATATACCCTCTACCTGACCCGAACTCGACCTGACTTTTTGAGATAAAATCCGAACCCAAACCGTCCCGACCCGAAATAATAATAAAATATTATTTTTATTCAATAAAAACAGTGATTTAATTTAAAAAAAATAATATATAGAGGGTATTATTGAAATTATTCCTAAATATATAAGATAAAATTATATTTTTCCAAGTCGGGTATTTTCACTCTAAACTCGAATCCGACCCGAACATGATTTTTTAAAAAAAAACCTGACCCGACCGTCGGGTTCGAGTCTCATGCCTATCTCTAACCATAGGTACATTTTATTACGGAATAATCTAAGAAATATATCAATTTTTTAAATAAAATTAGATGATCTATATTTTTACAAACAGTTAGATATTTAAAATTCGATTGGAATTTTATGTTCACTGTTTACATAATTGAAAAAAATAAGTCTATCTATACACAAGTCGCCATGACCATCCCTACGTATATTCATTCCAACTTAATACTTTCCTCAACAATTGTAATCATCCATAAAATTTGCTTCTTATTTTCAATAACTGCATCATTATATTTCCACTGACAAAAGCTACGTTTTTTAGTCAACCAACATGGCGCACAACCCACGATTTTTTCATGGATATATGTTGACAAGGAATTAAAAATAAAAGCATGTTTTAATCATCAAATTATTTTTATGTCAAAATTACTTAATGTTAAGTTTTAGTTTTATTTGATTATTCATTTTTAAAAAATTAACGATGACGTTAACGTGTCATCATGAGATAATGACATGTCATCTTTGATGTTAATGTGTTATCTTTGATTTTTTTAATAGCGGGTCATTAAAATGAAATTAAAACATAACGTTAGATCTAATTTAAAAAATAAAAATTGAGTGATCAAAACTAAACAACAATGGTAGTTAAGGTACTGCGCTTGTAGTTTACCCAAAATAAAATAATGTAAAATTAGAATGATTAAAATCATATCAAGATGGGAAACGAAAATTAGCCACATTAGACGAGACGAAAACAATAGTTAAATTTTGTTGCTGATCTGTATTACCAAAAAAAATATCAAGATTAAAACCATAACCACATTCTAAATTTAAAAATTATATAAAATTAAATTTGGAAAATAAAAAATACAAGTAAATTGAATGACACATGTATCATTCTAAATTTTAAAATTACACAAAATTAAATTTGAAAAATATAAAATATGAAGTAAAATGATTAATTACAATTGTTAACTTTCACTGTCGGAGCACATTTTGAAGAAGCAAGAAGGTAATGAGAGAAAATCCATAATTCATAATTAAGAATGAAAAACATAATTAGATATCTAATTATTGTGCTTCTTTGAGTTGAGAAGAACCCAAGCAGTCTTTAGTATTCCTTTATCTAGTTAAAAATGTCTCTTTTGTGTTTTAAAATTGTCACACTTATATTGTCCCTTTAAAAAATCAATAATTTTTATTAAATATATTTTATTTTATACTTTTTTTTAGTTTCTCAATAAAGTAAATTTTAATTTTTTAAATATAAAATTGTTATTTTAATTTTTTACAATAATCTCTTATACAAACTTTTTCTTTCAAAACTACTTGAAAAATCAACAATGAACACTAAAAATGGGACCGAGGGAGTATTTTCTGAAGGTGGTGGGAGATGTCATGTGGATGAGCCTCCACTCTTTGCCGCTCCGGCAAGACCCAAAGCCCGTCGCCGTTCCTTACCATCCCTTTGTTCTCGTCCTGCCGCCAGTGTGGTGGCACCCCATACTCCCTCTTCAAGAAGTTGCAGTCCTTGTTAACAAGCGCGATGTCCCTCTTATTAGCCAAGCAGAACCGTCGCCCTTTGCCGTGGTAGCCGTCGAGCAAGTGTAGATGAGCCTCGAGATTGTGGGCGCAACCGAGATCATTAGTCGGATTTAGAAACGGGCTGTGGGAGTGATCCAGCCCAAGTTCAATGCCGACATGTGCGTAACTCCATGGAAAAGAAACAGCCTCTTCTAAATACTTTTGGAACTGAAGTTTTTCGTTGGCGAAAATCCCCGGCACCGTCGGTACTTTATCGTGTACGTTTATCACTCTTAGTACCTTAACTCCAAGCTCTTCACACCTCTCTTTAAACTTAAGATTTCCCACTCGAGGGCCTGCAAAAGAGAACACCGTGATCGGTATTTCATCGGTATTATCTCCATCGTTAACGATATTAAGCCCTAATTCTGCAATATCATAAGCTGTTATTATAGCCAAAGCTGAACCGAGACTGTGCCCTGTGATTGTGATACTAAGTTCTTCCCCGTCGTAGTACTCCACGAGCCTTTTAATCTCGGCTAACACTTGTTCACGAGCCGAGAACGAGCAATAGCTACAATTTCTTTCTTTCTTGGTGTACAAGTCATTGAACCCTAACTCCATTTTAATGGAAGGGTCGTCGGAGAAGTTCGGGGAATGAAGAATGTCTTTGAGATCATAAATCCATTCGACATACGAGACGGTTCCCCTCCATGAGACGACGATATCTCGTCGTCCCAACCGTTTGACCTCGTCTTCGTCGGTGCATACGGCGACGTACCCCATCCAGTTTGCGTGCGTGCTCCAGACTCTGCTCAGCTTTGATTTCTGGAAGAAGTTGGGGAGGTTGATGTCGGAGGTGGCGTAGAGGTATCGACTGATTTGGTAGCCACGGTCGGCCATGCCGAGCTTTTCGAAGAAACGGGGTCCTTGGTATTTGCAAGAACCGCAGTACTTGGAGTGTGGATCAAAGTCGAAAGAGTCGTAGCAGGCTTGAGCGAATTCGCCGTAGCGGATGATCTCGCGGCGGAGATGGGAGTTCATGGGGTCGAGCAGTCCATCCCAGTCGTGGCGGCCTTGAATTTCCTTCCAGATTTGGGAAAGCAGTCTCTCGTCGTCTTCGTTTAAGACCAAAGTTTCCTCTACCGGAGGAGTGGTTAAACTTGACAAGGATGTTGTTGAACATTTTATGGCTTTTTGTAGGTAAAGATCTTTGGTTTTGTGGTTGGAGTTTAGTTTTGATGTGGGAGGTAATGGGAAGGTAGCATGCAGAATGAACTTTGGGTAGTTTAGAGAGAAGAGTTGTAAGGAAGGGGAAGCCATTAGACTATCTTCTTCTCTACCAGGGGTTGTTCGACCTTTAAAAGTGGTGACAAAGAAAGAAGAAAAAAAAGGAGAAAAATCTTCAAAATAATTGAATTGTCCGATAACTATAGAAAACTCGAGAGAATAAAAAGCATGCGTTTGATGTGAAATTGAGGTGCTGTTCCACTATTCAAAGTATCCCACTATGGTCCACTTTTAAGGTATTTTCGAACTATATATAAATTCAGAGAAATTCTTCCACCACTTAAAATTTTTAAATTCTCATCTCCCTTCTCTAACCAAAATTTAGCATTTAATTAGGTAAGGGTTCTCGGGCTATTTTACTCAAAAATCACTCAAATATTATAATATTATCTATCAGACACCATTTCTTTAAATTTTACCGATCTAGCACTAAATTTTACTTAGGTGGACTGAAACGCATCTCTTAGAACGCTCTTTCCAGGGGAAATGTTGACATGTCACAATATGAGAATGCACGTTTCAAGGAATGTGCCTTCCAGGGTTTTCTTGTCACATTAGATTCCCTAAAAGCATTTTAAAAAAATATACTTTAAAAAAATTGAAAAATAAAACTATAGAGACTAATAGTGTATTTTAGTACATATTAGTTCCATGAGTTGAAGAGTTTAATGGTGTTAGTTTATATAGACATATTAGAGTGTTTATGTTATGTTTCTTTACAATGTGAGATAAAAGCTAAAATGTGTATTCCTTAACTTTTTTATCTCTATATCTAATGCATTTACTTATACACTATTGTTAAATTACATTAGATTAATATTTATTATTAAGGTGTATATTAATTAAGATTATATATTTTTTATATGTTTATATATTTAAATACTTATTTTTTTAATTATGAGTTCAAAAAAATTAAGTAACAAAAATTAAAAATATTTCATTGACATATAAATGTATTATTTATTAAATATGATTAATTAGATTGTTGTGTGATCCTAATTGTATGATTATATAACTTATAAAAATATTTATATTATCATTTTTAAACTAATTTATATTATCATTTTAGTAGTAGCAACTAGGGATGTTCATGGACAGTTAACTGTACCATTTAGCCTAAACGATCGGTTAACTATTATAACGGTTATAAGATTTTTCTAACCATAACCTAACAATTAAGAAACAGTTATCTGTTTATCAAAATCTGTAACCATAACATTAACCGTTAACATTTTTAGCGATTCAGTTAACCAAAATTATTTAATATTAACCGTTTGGTTAATTAACTTGTTAAATGTAACAATTATACCGGTTGAAACGTGTTGTTGTTAAGTCAAAATAAATAGGCTTAATCTTAATAAACTAAATAAAAATAAGTAGAATAGTGAGAGTAAGGGTCGATCCATAGGGACTATGAGTTTGACAATTTCCTTGCTTTTGATCTTGCTTCAAGCGTGATTTGTGAAAGAAATTAGAGGGGAGATTATAGAGAGTTGAAGTGAAGTAATAAAAATGATTGAAATAAAATAAGATAGTAAATTAAGAAAATAAAATTCAATTGGTAAAAATCAGCCTTGGGCTAAAGCATTTGCCTCAATTTTAATTGATCCTTGAATATGATTTATCTCCGGGCTCATGCCGATTACAGTCTACAGGGCCCAACCCATGTAACTTGCTTTTCTCTCAAATGAATCGAGAATCTAAAATCAATTTTCAGATCTTAACTCTTTGTGAGTTAATAGCTGCAATCGCTTATTAATTCAACGCTTTTAAATTCTGGAAAAACCCGACTTGGATTCTATCTTCTCAATTGAGAATCTAACTCGATTTCAGTTTCCCTTAGCGGACTACCACTAAGTGTGTTCTCAGGAAGTCGAATGTGCCACAGTCCAATCCTTCCTCCCAACTATTAACCGAAACTGAAATTCAATTCCAACGTGCACTTTTTGAAATGAAATTGCTTTATTTGTAAAAGGATGATTGATTACTGATCCTTGATTTTTGAAAACTGAAAATGTAACCCTTGAGGGTATGAAGTGCTTTTCGATCCTCACGACTTAGAATTGAGTCATTGTTTTAGCCTTTGGCTATGAAAAACTTAGCTAAGTATTATTGAATTCATGCTTAGCAATTTAAGAAAGTAAACTAAAAACTTGAAAATAAAAAAGGAAAAAACTTTTATAAAAACTCAAAGAAAGAAACAAGAGTTGAATGAATTCTGAATGAAGAAATCAATGCTTAGAGGCATACCCCAATGGGATATTTATAGTCCTAAAAAAACCTAAAAGATAACATTTAAAACTAAAAAGATAATTACTGAAATAAAAATAAAATAAATCCTAATTTGAATTAAAAATTTCGGCTAAGTCTTTGGTCTTCACGCCACTGCTGACTGGATCTTCTAGAAGCTACCGACTGGGCCTTCTAGAAGCTATTAACTGGGTGCCACGTCACCTGCCACGTCAAATACCATGTCATCACCACGTCAGGTGCCACATCAACTAGTGACTATATGCCATGTCGGGTGTGTCATGTCCGAAGTCGTGCCCACTAATTTGGTCATTGTCGTAACCGGTTTTCGTCCTGGTATGAATTTTTACTTGGCGGGAAAAATAAAATGAATAAATAAATGATTTTGATTTAAAAAAATATTTTGGGAGTCGCCATTGACCTTTTTGAGTTAGGTAGGTTAAATACCTAAAAACAATCTTTTAAAATAGTTTTTAAGAAAACATAATTTAAAAGATAAAATGATCTACGTATAACCAAAAACTTTTAGTAAAGAAAGGATTCGTGGTCGGTTACGTTTAGGGAAGGATTAGCACCCTTATAACGCCCAAAATTGGTACTCATTAATTATAAATTGTCTATATTATTGGAAATTAAAAATTCAAAGAAATATTTAATTCATAATTTTGTGATTTCAAATTTATTACTATAATTTTAAGAAAAATGTATTAACTTTTATATATATATATATATATATATATATATATTTATAAATAATATATTTATTTACTTAGAAATATCAGAAAAAGACTTCTAGTTGCTTTAAGACAGTCATTTTCTTAATATTAAAAAAATAAATAAATATTAAAATATGATTATTTTTCCCAAAAGTAATTTATATAAAATTAAAATTTATAAATAAGATTTTTTAATAAAATAAATAAATAAATAAAATAAATATTATTCATTATATATATATATATATTTATATGACTAAATAATAATAATTAAATATATTGAAAATAAACATATTGAAATTTAAATAATAAATTAAATATAACTAAATAGTGACTAAAATAAATAAAATTAAAACTATAATATTAAAATATAAAATGAAAGTATTTAAAATTAGTGATTAAATTATAACATATTAAATTTAAATGGTCTAATTCGTAATATATTATTTAATATTACAGTGGCTAAACATTCTATTTTACCTATTATTAATTTTGGGACTAAGATAAACATAATTAAAATAATATAATTTAAATGTAAAATATTAAAATTCACAGACCTAATTCTAATTTAGCCTTAATTAATTATTTTGGGATTAAAATAAATGTAATCAAAATTTTAGGGACTAAATGTGATATTTATCCTAAATATATAAATATATATAGGTAGTGACTAAAATATAATAAAGTAAAACTTAAAGGCAAAATTAATATGCTCATAAATGTATTTCAGTGATTAAAATGAAAGGATTACAAATTATAAGGTATTGTGGACAGGGTTTTACGTTAAATTAATTACGTAAAGGTTCCTCCCTTAAACGACGTCGTTTAAGGAAGGATATATATACCCCCTTTAATCGGCCTTAAGGCCAAATTCTCTTATTTCTCATTCTCTCTCTAAGTGAGAGAGATGAGAACTCTCTGCCCTCTCTCTAGGATTCCCTCGTCGGAGGGAATCCAGTCACCGCCGGCAGCCGTATGCTTCCGTTGACGCCGTCGTCGGTGGTCGAAAAAACACAAAAATTTCCCAAATGATAGATCCGAACGTCCCATTTCCCCTAAAAAGTCTCATATTTGCGTAGATCTACAAAAAATACCTTCGGTATTTTGTTTCTATAGCGAGATTTGGAGGCTCCGACGACTGTGTAGCTCCTCGGTGGTAAGTCCTTCAATCTCTTCAATTTCTTTCAGTTTTTTATTGTGGATTTATTGTCGGTTGTGTGGGGTTTTTTGTGATTATCTTATTTTACAGATTCGGTGGTTTTATAACCACCACCGAGGCTCGCTTTGGACCGGTTAATAGGGCTCATTTCGGTGAGTCACCAAACCTATGGTGGTGACTCACCTAAGAGTGGCGACGTGTGCGGTGGCTTTGGCTCTTCTGGAAGCTTCTTTTGGCGTTGTGGCAGTGAGCGTCAGCAGCGGTTGATGGGAGCAGAGGGGGCGGCGACGACGTGGCCCTAGGGTGATGATACCCTAGGGTTTTATCTGGAACCACGTGGGCTGTTGGATCAAACCTAGATCCAACGATTGTTGTTAATTGGTGGCTGGAGAAGAAGATGAAACCCTAATCTATTTAAGGTTTCCAAACTTAGGTTGGTTCGGGTTGGGCTTCTCAGATATGGGTCTGGGTTCTTTAAAATGGGCCTTGGTTTACTGTTGGGCTCCGGGATTTGTAAAATGGACCTGTTTGTAATAATACTAATAATAATAAAAATAAATAATAATAATATAATAATAATAATATAAATAAAATAAAATAATATTAATATTAATATTAATAATAATAAAAAATGGATAAAATAAAAAAAATAGTATCTTCAGCTGCCCCTCTTTGCTCATTCTTGTGTTAACAAGAATAGGGCAAAGAAGAAAAGATAATAAGTTTTTTTATCCATCTGACTTCACTTGATTATGATGGCAATGTTAAACAAGTTCTTTTATGGGATTAGTTCTTCTCATTATGAACTTTTCCACTGGGGATGACAGTTTATCTCCTTCTGTGATGTAATCTAGCAAAAAGTAAAACAAATTCTTCTCATTATGAACTTCTTCTTCCTCTTTAGATGAGTTCTTCTCATTATGAACTCCTTCTGGAAATGCTG